CAACAGGCTAATAATAATAATGATAATACAAATGGTAATGACATCAACAAAACAACCATAATGATAATAATGAGAATGATGATAATAATAATGATGGTAATGATAACAGTAATACTTATGAACAATTAAATCGCCAGTCACGTAAATCATTAAAAGATATAGACTGCCCAGGGCTATTAGCAATTCATTATTAGTCAATTAATTACTGTTTAATTATTAGTCAATTAATTACTGTTTAATTATGAGGTAGACGAGTTATCTTGGAAAAGGATCTGCCTTCGGATTTGATAACAGCTCCGGGCCATATTTGACAGTCGTGATTCCGTTTGTTTTTCCTTCTACGAGAATTCTGCATTTAAAGTAAAAAAAAAAAAAAAATCATCATTAATATTATTACCACAGTGATCATTTTTGTTATTACTATGGTTATTATTATTATTATCATTTTTATCATTATCTTTATTACGGATATTGATATTGATATTACAAAAAAAGAGTAAATAAATAAATAAAATAAAATAAAATAAATAACAATAATAACAATAACAATAAAAGAAACAATAAAAACAAAAGAAACAATAAAAACAAAAGAAACAATAAAAACAAAAGAAACAATAAAAACAAAAGAAACAATAAAAACAAAAAAGGGAGGAGGAAGTCTAACAAACAAAGATGTAAAAAGGAATATTATTATTTTTTTCTTTTCCCATTTCATTTCTTTTCTATTTCTTTTTTCCTTTTCTTTTTTCTATCTTTTTATTTCTTTTTCCAGGACGCCGCCATTTTGAAAAACCGCGTAGACGAAATGGCGCGCAGGGCAAAGGTGGTCGGCCAGGTGTGCAAGTCGACGAAATCCCTTTCAAAAAAACCAAGTCGAATTTCTGTCGTTTGGGACACGAAGCATACTCCAAGTATTGTCTGGTGTCCGGTGTATAAGGTCAGTTATATTTTCCTTTATTTTTTTTCTTGTTTTGTCTTTTTCGTTATTTTTTTTCTTTTATTCTCCGTTTTTTTTATTCTACGTTCTCGTCTTCTTTTTCTTCATTTTCTTCTTTTCTTCTACTTCTTATTTTTCGACTTCGTTTTCGTTTTTCTTCCTCGCTTTCCTCTCCTTCTTTCCGGGATTCTCGTTCGAATCCGAAAAGTTTAGGTCTCGTTGCAAATATTGATATTTTTTCTCTCTTTTTTTAGTTTTTTTCCCCCCGTTTTCGTTTCAAAACTTTTCGCTCGGATCTATAAAGGTCAAGTTGCTGTAAAAAAATTAACATTTTTCTTCCCTTGAATTTCAAAAAGCATAATTCACGTGGATAGAATCTCTATTACTGAATAAACAACATACAAATAAGCAACAGATGAAGGACAACCAAAAAATATCAAAAGAACCAGAAACAAATACGAATTTAAAACAAAGAGAGAGAGAGAGGAAAAAAAGCAGAAAACCAGAACCAGAAACATATACGAATCTAAAACAAAGAGAGAGAGGAGAAAAAAAATGCAGAGAACCAGAACCAGAAGATGCAATAAAGGAAGAAGATAAGAGAGTGACCTCCCCCTAACCCCCCCTGCTCCCCCCACCAACAGGTCGCCTCCACCACATGGATGAGGAACTTCCTTCGCCTCGCACACTTCAACGAGAACAACCCCAAGATTCCCAGGAATATTTCGAAGGAAAAGCAGGACAAAAGGAGGTTTTCGGTAGGTGTGTTAGAACATGCGCACGCACACACACGCACGTAAACACACACGAACGCACGAAACCACGCATGAACGCACACACACACATATATGTATGTATGTATGCAAATATAATATATGAAGGAGTGTATATATATACCTATAACTATATCTACAGACATGTATATCTCTCTTTCTATATATATACACATATAACACCTACACCCAGAGATACAGCCATACATATACGCACATATCTCTCTCTTTATATATCTGGTTATATATATATGTATAAATATAAATATACACGTATGTATGTATGTATGCGTGTATGTATGTATGTAAGTATGTATGCATGTATGTATGTATGTGTATATGTATGTATATATATGTATGTATGTATGTGTGTGTGTGCATGCGTGCGTGTATGTGCATGTATTTATGCCTACATGGCCAACCGCCTTTCAACCCTTCCATGTCGGTCTCTCAGGTGAGGTTCGGCGCCACCCACAACCGCGTGTTCGAGCTGTATCCGGGACCCGAAGACGATGCCGAGAGAAGCCGAGTCATGCAGGAAAGTGTTCGGGTCATTATCGTGAGGCATCCCTTCGCCAGGTATTTGGGGGAGTTTTTGCAATATTCTTTTTATTACTGTTTTATTTTATTATTATTGTTGTTTCTAGAGATTATTATTTTTTTTAGGTATTATTTTATTCATTTATTGTCATTATTGTTTTTTTTTTTTTTTTTTTTTTTTTTTGTGTGTAGGCACCCTTTTAGCTTTCAATTTTAAATATTTTTTCTATATTCTTATCTCTGATTACTTCCATGACAGCTATGTCATTTTTTTATTATTTCATTACTATTTTTTTTATATTTTAATTCCAATTTTCTTATACTTTTTCCCAAGAGAGAAAAGGGAATTGTACAGTCCTCTTACACTTCCAATGTCATCCCCAAACGTAGCCAAAGAGTAAACCGCGTTTCGACTCTTACGTTCGAAACAGAACTCACGGTGTTTCGGAAACGAGAGTCGAAACAGGGATTCAAACACTAGCAACTCTGGGTGAAGGGGACTGTACATTCATACAAATTAGTCAGTAATAAAGCCTCAATAATTTACACGTACTGTACTTTTTTATGTTCAGTACATCTTTATCCTGATATTAATGTGAAAAAATCCCCAGGCTCCTCTCCGCTTATCGGGACAAGATGATCAAGAAAAATCCCATCCCGGTCAGATTCAAGTTTAGGGAGTTGCAAAAGTACATTATTGCTAAGTATCGAGGAAGCAACAGTACTGACAATTCCTCTTTTCCGAGTTTTGCCGAATTCGTCCAACACGTCATAGACTCGACTGAGGAATATGTAACTCCCAAAGACTGGACGGATAACGTTAGTATGATATTCAATATGAAAGGAAAAACAAAAAACAAAAAATCATCATCGGGTATCACTGTTAACAATGCCATCGACATTTCATCGCCTCACGGGCTCGATTTTCTCTCCAATCCATTTCCCATTTTGAACATAAAATGGTAGATTCACCGTCAGTCGCGTCGGATTCAGGTCTCCATCAGCGTCAAGTGTCTGTGTTCGCTATTTGTTGTCATTTATCATTATTTAGTTCACACACACACACACACACACACACACACACACACACACACACACACACACACACACACACACACACACACACGATATAAATTCACGCTACTGAACATAGGGAAGCAGTAAAATCCATTCCATTACAGTTCATTTTTTTCTACTTTAAGAATGTAGAGTTCCTGCTTCTTTTAATTTTGCTGAACTAGTCATTTTACTCAGCCTTAGAATCTCCTTGTATAGTTTTCAATTTCAATTTCTCATTAAGTTCTTAGTTAAAATCCCCCATATTGTGAAAGGCAATAGGGAAATAAACAGGACATATACAGCCTATCCATAGACAGATACCCACGAAATTTCACCGTTGTAATGGTAGCTTTCTCGTTGGGTGATTCCATACTACAGGTAAAGTGCTGGCTGCCTTACTGGGTGCACTGCGGCGTCTGTTCCTCTGACTACAACATCATCATGAAGCTGGAGAGTATGAAGGATGACGAACGGTTCCTCATCACCCTTTCTCGTCTTGAAGAACTCAAAGTATGGCCATGAGTTTCGCGTCTTTGAAAATGACATTATACTTTTCATGAACTAAACATGTTTATATGAGTTTCGCGTGACAGTGAAAACGATATAAAGTTTCTCATAAACTGATCATTTAAGGTGAACTTCTTTCCCGATACTAACGCTTCCCAAATGCTAATGCTCCGACAGAATGTGGCCAGCTGGGTCCACCTGAAGGGGTCATCCTCGGAGGATTTGGCAAAGGAGTACTACAAGGACGTGACGCGACGCCAGATGATGGAACTCTACCAGCGGTATCAGCCCGATTTTAAACTCTTTCAGTATGACATTGATGACTTCCTTGCCATTGCTAAAGAGGAGTAAAATCTGAATGTAGTTGTGGCTACAGCTCTAAATGGTTACGCTTCGGCAGGGTCCTCAAAATAAAGGACTTTCATTACAAAGCATATGGTAGTTACCTGACTGCTAGTACAATATATTACGCTTGACTGCTTGGATTTGGCTGTTTCCCAGAATTTACTTTATATTAAAGTTTTATATATGCAGGGTGATTTCACCCTTAATTTATTGCTAAATAAAGGTGAATTGAAAAAAAAAGTTATTTCCTACTATCTAGAAGTTTTCCATCACTCTCGAAAGAAATCACGAAATAGATTTAGGGAAACTGTATAACTAACAGCTACAACAAAGGGATTAACCAGTCTTAGCTGTTTTATTTTTGCAATTATAACGAACTAGAGTACGCCAGTTAAGGAACATCTGAGTTAATGAGAACACTGGGGTGATTTTGAAACTAAGTTATACCTTTTCCAGCTTATATGCTATCCCATTTTCATGCTTAACATCAGCAGAAAAACGAGACTTGATCCTCCTAAATTCCTGGAAGGCACAAGGAAAAAATAAAGAAAGGCAAAGAATACATGTAATTAAAATATACTCTTCTCTCGTTGTCTCTCTCTGATATATTCGACATTCTCCAATCCAAATCTACTGTAGCAGTTCTTTATGTCTGATTAGGGTCACAAAGATTAATTAACAGATTCAGAACATATGTCAACACAAACATTAAAAATTAGCTGATAAGAATAAACGAGAAACGGGGCGATACAGAGACCGGGGTGAGTTGCCAGTTTTTCCTTTTCTGTAGGATTTATAGGTCCAGTGGGGTAGAGGAGGCAGACCAGAACAGTCCTCGG